GCGTAAATATGAATTGAGACCAATTTATAAGAGAGGCACCTTAATATAACAAATACTAAATTGAATCTTAGTAATTCTTCTTTTTATCTTGTGGATAGGCAAAAGAACTATACACAGACGGCCTTAATTTGTGTGTTTTTAAATTTTCAATAAGAAACCCATTCAATACCTGTCAAGAATCCGTAACATAAAAACATGTCTGGATTTAGTCTACAATTATAAAATTCATCGAGTTATGTACGCCATAGAGTACTCTCACACGTCAAAAATACATGAACACAAATGCAAATCGCAACTTATAACAAATAATAGCTAACCGTGTGAGTTACATCGACTTTGTTTAAAACAAAGAGAACAAGACAAAACTACAAACATTGTAATGTTTGTTCAATTGTAAACTCGAACTTCGATTAATTCCAACACAAATATGATAATTCAACGGCATACATTGATGATGGTGACAGCCAACAAAACAATTCTAAGTTGCATGTATATATATAAAATAATATTATGCTCACGACTCTTGTTAGTCAAAGGTTAAAAAACTTATATACATTTATTTAGAATGTATGCGACAGGTTATAGGCCCACTTTTATCTACTGATACGCTTTCTCTAAACATTATCTTCCTAAGTTTTGATTTATTATAATTTATGAAGATTATTTTCTTTTGAAATACAGATAGAGGTATACTAATAATGAATATAATTACATGTCACTTTAATGAACTAAAATAAGTAGATATCTACTCTATATTAAATGAGCGCTTACATACACTTTATCTCATTATACATCTATAAACTATCAGGAATTACAAAGTTGGAGTTCACAACTACAAATTATAATATAAAAGCTTAAAATATTCTTGTTTCGCCGTTACACAGAACGTAATCATAAAATTTAGATACGGCGGAAGAAAGTCGGATTGTCGTAACTTGAAAGACCCAACTTTACAAAAATTCTTATAGATTCCATAATTTCAAAAATTTATAACTTTCATAAATATTATATTCATATTTGTTGAGATAGAAATTTGAAAATTGGTATGTATTTAACCAATTTACAACGTTCTATCTTGAATATATGAGTTATGAATTTTTGAATCAGTTTTTTAGATCTTGGATTCAAGTAACGATAATTCCGCTCTTTCGTCGATATTGTCACCGACAACCAAAGTCAGCTTGCGTCGTTAATGTACAAAAACTCAATCCACATAAGACATAAGAAACAAAATTAATGATTTAATAGATTCTATACCTCTCAGGTAGGTAAAAAACTAATATAATTAGATACCGGATTAAAAGGCTCGTTTTGACGGATGTAAGATTTTTTTTTAATCCGTACTGAATTGATTTTGGCAAAAGTACCAGTACGCCAATACATTCAAAAGAAAAAATATAGAGAGAAAGAGAGCTGATTTTATTATAAGTGAACCACTGCACCGATTTGATATTGTTTAATGGATGTAATTTAATAGTGCACTCATGTGCTAATGATATACGTTGGTGGGGCACCAGTGGAGGATAAAATCAAATCAGCCCATCGTGGCGGATTCACCCGAAAGAAACCATTGTTTCCAGAGTGGAGGTCGACCTGACGTGGTACATTGCTAGCAATTGGGCCTCTAGTACCCATTACTAACAATTCCATCCCCCTATTCTTTCAGTTTGAAATTAGGCTATATTATATGTCAACATATCTCTCTTTGACATCAATGTCTCAAAACGGGCTTTTTAAAACGGTACTGTATTGGAATTTTCTAATTTCTAAAAACGTAAAAGCTCTAATAAAGTAGATATAAGGTGCTTCGTCTCTATTTTCCGAGCGACATTCTTAATTAGACAATTATATTGAAATAGGTTTATTGGAGACTACTTTATTATATATAAATATGTATATTTTACAACATTTAATTTTGTACCTAGTGTTTATTTATTATTTGGTACAATATTCTATAGTATTGCAATCGAAGCATAACTTCTCGATAGTAAGGCTCGTACAAAATATATATATATACTTGTTTAAGAAATATAGAAATACCTATATAATTAATGTAGGCTTGTCTATTATAAAAATTACCATGACCAATCACTAATTTACACAATTGAATCTGTATTGCAGACAAGCCATAGTGCTACGATTAGTTATAGTCGAGATTTAGTATTTCTAAGTCCGCTCACACATTTAAGTTCAGCCGAACGATTGCGATATGAAACTCCCGTTTGATTGGCGTATTGGTTGCTACGCCCCGCCCTATTTAGAAATGCGCCAATCAGATCGGGGTATACGACAATCGTTCTGTCAAAACTAATAATATGTGAACGCTCTAACACGTGACAATACGATTAATATTTCACCAATATATTCACCATACTAGATTAATACTTTATAAACTTTAATACCAGCCGATAAGTTTCAAAATAGATTTATAATATTTTGCTGTATATTATATTCCAATATTGAATAGGAATTACGTGTAGAATAATAGCAATTATTTTCGTTTTTTTTCTACTTTCTACAAAACTCACTTATATTCAAATAGTGTCACAAGTAAAAAAAATGTTATAGTAGTTTAGGTTTATTATGTTTCAGAATTCAAACTGCTTTTAGCGTAAATACTGCTATTGTTACATTAAATAGTTCCAAAACGAAAGTAAAATGAACAATTTGAATTTGTTTTTCTCACTAGATTGTTTTTTTTTTTTATTGAGTCAGTATTTGAATATGTGTAAGTATTCACATTATAAGGGAAAATATTAAATACATAGTGAACATGTTGAAAATAATATTTAGATTGTAGTTGATTTAGATGTATTCCTAAATATTGTATACTATTTATATGTACATTTCACAATTGTATAATTTATTAATGTTTCTGTATAATATAATTTTTGCAAATTGTATTACAACTTACTACTGTTATTCACAAGGAGATAATGGAATTACAAGCAGTTTATTATTAATAATTAGGGTCTAAAATGATTATTTTTCACACACTGAAATAGAATAGTCTATAGCAATTATTTAGATATACATATACTATATATTATACGTAGAGTATATCCAAAATTAAATGTTTGATTATCAGATATATATTTAGATACTGTACTATGTTTTTGTGCCTCTAATTTATGTCACTTCTGGAAGAGTATACATTATATATACAATGTATACACTTTTTCCTATGTTAGCACAACTATTCAAGTATTCTACGAATTTGTTTTACGGTTAGATTTCTATGGTTTGCAAAGTATATTTTTTTTTAAGTTAGAAGTCACTTTCATATTTTTATTGTAGTTAATTTATAAAATGATATAAATTACAGGCAGTTGATATATTAATAGCGTACTGGATTTTAAATATAAATTGGGAGTAGAACATAGATTTAGTTAAATATTATTTGATATATATAAAATATGTTAGTGTATATATTTCGATTAATAATATAGAGATCTAGCAATATTGTGTACATTATGTATTTATATTGTTAGAATACGAATGTGGAATTAATTCAAGAACATACTTAAATATGTCATGTCTATTATATTAAACATGCTAGTTTTCCCTTTTCCATATATATTGCTTCAATTTTTAAATAGTTCATACGCAATTGTATGTATACAGTTTATAAAATACCTACTTTACATTTTATGATAATAAAAGAAATACAAATTAAATATTTTATGAAATACCAACTATCCATTACTTAATTTCATTCAAATAATTTTTGTATTTCTTGTGTAAAAAAGTAACAAACATGCATTTATCTTGACAAACTTTCTCATTTATACTGAGCTAAAGATGAATATTGTATTTATAAAACATATTATATTGTTATAATACCAATGGTGCAAATTTAAGCAGTGCCTTAGTAAATGTTTATTATTATCATATAAGTGTAGATTTATCATGTTTTATTTTATTTCATAATTAGCGACCCATCCTGACTTCGCACGGGTGTATTTTTTCTTTAATATACATATTAAACCTTCTTTGATCACTCGTATCTATTGCTGAAAGCTGCAATAAAATTGCGTAGTTTAAATAGATACGTACAGACAGCATAATACAAAGGTATGTAAAAATGAAAAGATAAACCCAAGTGTTCACGGAACAGGAGATAAACTGATATCCTGATTATAACAAGAAAACTATATGTGTACTAGAGTCTAAAATCGACTATTTTTAGAAAAATCGATTGTTATGCTAACAAAAATAATTGTTTTATACAGAATGTCACATGTCTAATGGCTGGTAGCGATAAGACCTTGTAATATATATTCTAACATATATTTTATTATTGTTCTGTTAATTTTAAGTCTTGCTAATTGTAATAATGTCTTCTGTTTATTGATAATATTTTATTTTATTAATTTTAGGAAGATTAACGGTGTATTTTCACGTGTTGTAATTAAATAGTAGTTTATTTAACTCTGTTTTCTGTTGGAGGAACAATAAAGGATTCATCTTATTTCTATGTGTCATTTTATTTGTATATATTGGCAGTAACGGTATAAGTATTGTTTCAATCGTATATTTATGTCTACAAAATGTAGATGTGATTATATATATCTGATAATGTAATACCTTTCTAAAAATATATACTCCAGTCAAACTAACACAGTGATGAGTAGTTCTAGTGGGTAAGGAGTTTAGTCTAATATCATAAGTAATCTTATTTATTATGTATATTGTTATTTGAATCAGATTATATACGCTTGCCTGGGATCTATAAGGTATATTTATTGAGGGGTTTGGGTTCTGGTCAGGTGCTTTAGACCTGTAGCACTGCGACCTACGTAGATCTATTGTGCTCGCTCTTTCCACTCTATATGTATACACTTGGAACAAAAATGTTGTGTTATTGCGTGGTAGATATTATATATATTAATATGTACTTTATCTTGAAATAATGCACATTTAAAGATCAGAGATGCTACGAAAATTTAATTTTCCTACCGAACATTCATAACAACTCTAGTGGAAACCCCTTGTTTAAAAAAAACATCAAAGTCTTTTTTTTTAATTGGGGTGGATCTGTATAGACCTATTGTGCTCGCCCTTATTCAAAGTTCTACCTAGACTCGTGAGTGACAAGTATTGGAGATCAACGTCCTAGTAGAGATCAATTAAAAAAATATCAATATCACTCGTTAACAACGTAATAACATAAATTTATACAAATAACAAAAAATTCACAACAAAACGCGACACTTAATAAAAAAATGGGAGTAATTTAAAGTAGTAAATATTTTAGATTTATACTGGTGATGGCAGCCTGTCCACTTATAAACTTTGTATTTTTTATATCTGTTTTTATGTCGCTTTTGACTATTTGTTACTTTTTCGCAGTAAGCCCCTCTTGGGAAATATAGGTACACATTTATTAGTATTATTCTGATTTTGAATAAAATACTTGTTGTCTTTCCGCTCCAGTCACAGATACCATTTTCTTTTTATTTTTTCGTGTCGGTTATTTATTAGTAAATCTTTGTTATTTGTAAAAAACTGACTTTTTCTGAGAGACGAGAATCTGCACTGAACGGTCGGTATTCAATACGAAATTCTATGATTCCACATACCGTACATAATTATTAATATATATGATATCTATCACACGTGTTATATATCACTTATGTTGGTATATATTGTCATTAATGTAAGTCCATATTGTTAATCTAAATGTTTAGTCAGTTTAATTATCGTAAGTTATTAACTTATTTTTAAATGACTAATATCTTTAAAAACAATGCATTTGAAGTTTTTGAATTTTCGTGTTTAATATACATTATTTATATTATTAACCGGGTCTTAACACGAATAATTTTATGGCAAACAAAGGCATTTACCTCTCGACGTTCTCGAAACTTCGAGAGAGGTAAATATCTTTATTTACCATAAAATTATTCGTGTTCGGACTAGGTTAATAATATAAATAATGCATTTGCTGTTTAACAATTAATAAAATGGATTATATTCACTAAATGCTACGGCTGTGCTATTACCATAGATTATACATAAACAGAGTGGAAATTTTTTGTCAGTGCTCATTCTCGAAATTTATAATTTTTGAAATAAAAACAAGATAAGTATGAATAATACTGTGGACAGTACAATTTAATTTTTATTTTATTTACGCTAATAGTATAGGCTGTGAAGGTTATTTCATCCGAGTGTGAAGTCATGTCAGTTAGACCGTCGTGTTGAGGAATAGACCACAATGGACTTCAGAGAGACCACGTGGAGGTCCACTTGACAGGGTACATACCTAGCAATAATGGTGAGAAGGGAAATAGGATTGTTACTGGACTAGTGGCTTGATTACTAGTCATTTACCATGTCACATAGACCTCCAAGTGCCTTTTTTATTTTGGACTATTGTACGGTGGCTAAGATCTCTACGACCTGTACAAATCTTTTGAGCTCTCTCATTTTGTTTGCACCAAGTGCTTTCTCCTGGTGACAATCTGTTAATTCCTGGTAAATTGCCACGACAGACTAACCGACATGACTTCATGTATACTTTTAATGGCAAAACGGTACATCATTTCATAATATACATAAAAATCTTATCAATCTTCCTAAAGTATTGAGTGATGTTTACAATATTTTCAGTAGTTTTCATAATTTTTAATAATACTACTTAACACGTTAAAGACCGCATGCCCACCGGTGGATCACTCTGCAACGAAAGTAAATTGACACGTTGGGAAAGGTGATCACCCTTGGGCACTTTAATTGAAATAAATCTAGGGGTTAAACAATGTAAACCTCAAATTATTGTACATTAAAAACATTTAAAAAATAATATACGTAATTAACGATAAAAAAAAAATGCCGGTACCATTATGAGAAATAAGTTTTCAATGAGTTTCAAAATGTTAAGCTAGTGCTCAAGTCAAGTTTACACTCTGTAAATAATGTACTCTGTGGTATAACAGCGTGCGACATCTTACATTCGTATATAAAGCAAACGGTCGCTAACTACACGATCTACGTTCGTAGTATGTTACGGTGAAGTCTACAATAATGGAAGCTATAAAATACGTTAGTCATAGCCGTGTACCGTATCCGATTGGTTGGTTCACTCTCAACACAGCTGCCGAGACGACTTCATGTATCTGCAAAGAAAATATACAGGTTTATATCTATGACCTAAGGCTGTCCGTTCAAATCTGGGCAACATAAAAAAAATTAGTATCAATTTTGAGACAAGACCTTGGTGGTCTAACGGTTTAGTACACCGCTGTACGTACGATGGTGACGGGTTCAATTCCACTCACGACACAAAGATTTGTATTCATGAGTATGATTTTTTGTAACGGTCTGGGTGTTTTCTATGAATATTATATATTAATTTACGAAAAAAAACTGTCTATTTGTATCAGTTCTCTAGTACCCATAAGACAGGCTTTAGCTAACTTGTCTAGATGGACAACAAATACCCCTCTCACACACTCACCCAACCTCTGGTTATAGTTAAATATGTATACATACCGGTCACTAGACGGGCACCTCCTCGGCCTCCTTCTCCCGCTGGCGGACGGCGACGGCGGTCTCCACCAGCAAGTACAGGCACTTGAACTTGTCCCGCTCGCCTTCTGCACTTGACACGCCCGCACTGCCGGCTGGCACAACCTGCAGACATCCATCTCATTAGCTATCTAGGTCTAGGAATGTCCCTAATATATTATTGGCTCACTACACGCTTTGGTATATCTGACATCCATCTCATTAGCTATCTAGGTCTAGGAATGTCGCGATCTAGATATATACTAGGGAATTAATTAATCATCAGTGCAAATACTTACAACCGCGTAGACTCTGTATATACTTCGTTTAGATCCCCTCCGATCGATCCCCCGTCCATTCAAACGATCCCCCCTGTCCAATTCAAACGGGGATCGAAATTGGCCTTCAGACCTTCCGAGGATTTGGAGTGCCATCTGCACTCGCTCCCTATCGTCTAGTGAAGTTTTGAACAGCATTAGCGGTCCCTCAGATTCTAAATAATTAGTCGTTCACAAAGCTGGGCAGCATGTTGGTCGAATCTCACCTTGGGCCACAAAGGCTTCGAAACACGCGTTGTATCTCGACTCCAGCTGCGTCATCCTCAATGGCAGTTTTTTATGGATGATAATGGAATGGAGCACCTGCCTGTGCTAACGGTTGACGCTGGCGGGGCACCAGTGGAGAATAATAAGATGAGCATGAAGTCAGGTCAGTTAGCTCATAGTGGTAAATTCACCAAGAATTTATCACGATGGTTTCCAGGAACCACGTGGAGGTCAACCTGACACAATATATTGCTAGCAATGTGTTTACTAGTAACAATCCCATTCCCCTGGCTGGTAATTCAATGGCAGATTACTCCTGGTCCATATGTAGTCGACAACGTCGTCTTGTTCCTTGCTCCTCCTTATTCAAGTCATAATTTGGTCCGGAGAGGTGTGGGTGCGTACCTGCAGGCGCCTGCGCAGCGGGTGCGGCAGCTGCGGGAGGTGCGCGAGCTGCGGGTGCCAGCCGCCGGCGCCGCCGCTGCCGCCCTCGCCTTCACCTTCCTCGGACTCTGAAGTGCGAACCGTCACCACCGCTGCCGTGCTGCGTCACAATCACGAAAGCTTTTATTATATAGATCATAGATATACAGGAATGGACAGATTTAAAGCCTAAATTCGCACATGCACTCCCAGTTATCAAGCTACCTCGCTGCTCAATAGCTTGGTTTCGGAGCAGCCAGAGGTCGATATTTTCACGACAATATTAATAAGTTTATTGAGTGTTGTTTGTTGTTTTTTATGTAATTACATTATTCGTTATGTTATATTATTGGCTCACTACACGCTTTGGTATATCTGTAAGTGTGGTGAGTACCTTATCTTAAATAAATAAATAAATTACATAGTTAGCTGTTAATTTCTATGTAAGGAATGATGTACTGGTCTAAAAACTAATTTACATTACAAAATTGTTAATTTCATCAAACAGTATTAATATAAGTTCCTATTGAAAATTTACATTTAAAACAAATTGAAACTATTATCGTGGAAGATAGATATTGTAATTAGAGGATGGAAGAATGAAAAGATAGACTAAGTAACACCACAACCCTACAAAAGTGTTATGTTATAAAACATATCCTGTAATATTATTGTTAGACAGCAGTATATGAAAGTAGTGTTGCCAGTATTCCAAATAATAAAAAAATACAATCAGACATATATTTACCCTCTAGCAGCTGGATGCAGCTCTCTGTCCTCAGGTCCGTAGCGTATAACAGACTGCCATACCGTCGGGTCGTATTTGACTTCTTCCTCGCTGACTGCGCTGGATGAGTATCCTTCCTCGCCATCGCCTATATCATCACCGTCGCTACGGTATACGAGCAATCCATCGCTGTACTCGTGCTCCTGACTGCGATCCTGTTCGTTCTGAAAAGGAACCATTCATTGATCATCTTTTTTCTTGATCTTTTATCGAAATACACGATTTATTTATTACTAGCTGTGCCCGCGACTTCGTCCGCGTGTTATAGTGATCTTGACCAAATAAAGATAATATTTTATGATCTAAACAAAAAATCTAAAAAAAAGAAATTTCAACGTTCTTGCTTCAAAAATATCGATTTTCTATACAAATTCATCTCCCCTTTCAACCCTTATTTCGTAATTTAAAGTAGCCTGTCATTTTTCAGGGTCTAGACTATCTGTGTACCAAATTTTATTTAAATCGGTTCAGTAGTTTTGGTCTGAAAGCGAGCGAGACAGACAGACAGAGTTACTTTCAGATTTATAATAAAAGTAAGGATTCTCCATCCCTTCTCCCTTGTGACGAGAAGGTACTCGCGGTCGTCGTCACATTGCGTGCATTCTCATGTCATTTCCATGACTAAATATTCTCTTATGTTACTAGCTACAACTCTGAACCAATATCTTACCTCAACATCGATGCCTTCCCACGAAGCCACGACGACACCTCCAGATCCGCTGCCAGACGCCGTCGGTTGCTTGCGACCACGACGCGATATCGTATAGTGTAAGGGGTCGTGGCCCTCGCGACGAATCATCTCGGGCAGGATGCGGCGGCGAGCGTTGATGAACCAGTTGCATACCTGAATATTTTATTAACTTTTGAATTACATTTGTTTACAAGCTGTGCCCGCGTTTCACACGCGTTAAATTTCAATATATAAATTTCGATAAAAAAAATAGCCTATTCATAAGCTATATTACTGTAAAGTTTCATGAAAATCCGTTCAGTAGTTTTTGCGTAAAAGAGCAACAAACATGGTTTCACGCCTTAAATTTCAATAAAAAAATATAGCCTATATGTTATTCTGATGCATAAGCTATATTACTGTAAAGTTCCATCAAAATCCATCCAGTAGTTTTTGCGTGTAAGAACAAACATCCATACTTACAAACTTTATAACTTTATTAAGATTAAGATTTAAGGGCAGAACAATTAAAATTAAAACTCTGGGCATTTGGAACTACTGCAATCATTATGTTCCTAAGGCATCATAGTTCGGAGAGCCCTGTTCTAGGTTTTTTGGGTTTAGGTTAGGTTTTTTTAATACTTAGGATTTTTGGAATTGTAGTTTATTATGGTTAGATTGCAATAGTATGATGGTCACTCTATTCTGCCTACTTATGAATTTAAGAATGAATCTGCATTTTTGCAAACATATACCAAGCACATTTGAAAAGAACAAGAGCTGAGTTTCTTTTCAGTTCTTAGCTCGAACTGCGCTCATAATACGAAATAGCCGGTCAGTTTTCGGGCAGAAGACGTTCAGCTGTCACGTGACCGCTGACTGTAATACGATATCGCCAGGCAGTTCAGTTTAAGCTGTAAACTGACTGGGAATAAGAGTTCATAATACGCCCGCTGAGTAGTTTTAGACATACCATAAAAATCTGTAATAAATAAACTTACACGAATAAAGATATTTTTATATGATTTGTAGAGTATATACGAAGTCGCTTATATGATATCGCTTATATATTGAATTATAAACAATGCATGAATTGGAGTAGGTCCAATTAGATTTTTTTTCGGTCTACTCTAATGCTGTTGGCCGCAGCTAGCCTTAAAAGCTTCAGCGGACGATAAGACCGTTTCTAATCTACTTCCCATACATATATATATATATATATATATATATATATATATATATATATATTTTGTGAGCGTATTAATAATTTCGGTCAACATCTATTTTTCATTCTAAATGTTTATCCCCTTTTTTATTTTTTACTTTAAGGCAAAACAACGTTTGCCGGGACAGCAGTATATACATTCTGCTGATGTGTACCACTGTTCTAAATTCAATAGATACACAGGATCGTCATATCTGAATTAAACAATATAAGTTGCTCTCTATTACTAAACTAGTTATGACATCAATGACTACAAAGTTAAAAACGCATCATCTTTTGACCGTTTGACACAACATCTCATTTTATTTCTTCATTTCTTTTGTTAGGGCGTCCCCTCTCTGGCATACTGTCGACATCCACCCACATTCATATTATACACTTCTTTGTTTTTCCGACTTGGGTCAAGACACTAAATTCTTTTGCTCGATTACAGAGAGGCAATTCAAATCTTATATTAAACAAATGTTATGTAAAAAATGACCTATTATAAGATATTCAATGGTTATAGATGATAGCAATATATAGCAAGTTCATATTTCCAATCCTTGTATTATATCGGGTCCATCAACGTTATAATTTTAATTTTCATCCGCCATGCTTCTTGATATATGATCTCTAGCGTTTTACCTGGTCGTTGATTGCGCATGCATCAGAGCCCACAGATTGACCTTCGTCTCGTCAGAAAGATGACCCTACGCCAATCCTCCAACGTCCATATAGTAATTTTTGATAGCCGTATTTGCCGATGACGTGGTCGTGTGGGATCTTGTAGTCATGCTCACTAAAATGTCCAGACATGTGGCGGCGTGGTTGGACCTCTACGGGTCCATGGCCCCCGAAGTGATAAGCCTCACCACTTACCGGGCAACTATGGTCGAGCGCAGTGAGGCAACTGGCAGTGTTCCTTTCAAGCAACAGTCACTCACGGAAAGTTCTTGGGCCACCCTGAACGTGTTAATGCTTGATAACTTCGGGGACTGGTCTGGTCAACAAGTTGGATGAAAAGTATTGGATGAGAGAGGGAGGAAGTAGATATATTTCCAATATTCTTTTTTATCTGCATGATTATATTTGATCGAAAATATCACATATATCGCGAGATTGTTGGTCAAAAATGTAGTTTTCATGTTTCACAGTTGTAAATGTAAATTCATCATTGGATTATTTAAAAGCAGCAACACACAGTTCAGGTTTATTAATTGTATCTCAGGCGATGGAATGTGGTCAAACATTGGGGCTTTTGTGATGAGACAGCTATATATCGTCCGAACGAGTTTAGATAAAAATATATATATGTATTGCCTTAAAGGGCACGACGGTGACTATTAATTTGTCATCATCATTGCCTTGCCTTTATCTTAAATTAAGTTCTCTATTGATATAAATGATTTTCTTTCACACAATCCATCCATTCTTATTCTCCCTTTACATCCATCCACATTCATATTATACACTTTCCATAAGACATGATCCTCGTTCCTCCGCATAACATGCCCATACCAGCTCAATCTGTTACCTCGCAATAATTTGTGACATTACATATTGGTCAACTGATTATCCTAAAATATATTGAAGTTAATACTCCAAACTTTCGAAAGGACTTATGGAGCGGCTGAAGCCCAACTCCTGTCTGACGGATGGTGGTCAAAGTTATACTTACTTGCAATACAGTAAGATTGGCCTCTTGACTCAGCGTGAGTTTCTCCGCGTCGCTGGGGTACGCGTTGTATCTGTGGTCGTACAGCCATCGTTTCAGTATCTTCACCGAGTGCTTGGGGAGGTTTCCGCGTCGCTTGCGGACTGTGATGATGCCGGGCGGTGGGTTCGGTAGTCCGTGTGTCATACTCGTACGGCGCGATCTGTCCGCTTCGCCATCTGTCCCGCTTTCATTCTCGTCCGTTGATGACGTGGACGGGAAGCGGTCTCTTGCTGGTGAAGATAAAAAGTAATACGTTAGATTTGTGTAACACAATACTGTTATTATCCTACTAATAGATGTATAATGTAGATATATAATATATTTAAATATATATATGCAAATGCTAAAGTACAGATTTATCTATATATATAAAATATGAATAAATTGCATGTAAAGTACAAAAATAACAATTATATTTTCCCATACAAACGGCTGATACCTGTCAAACGTTGTGGGTGCGTTCAGAAATTTATTGCGTAACTAAACTTCAAAAAACCTTACATATTTAATTTGCCGACCTCGGTGGTCTAGCGGTCTAGCACACCGTTTTACGACCGATAGTCGCGGGTTTAATTCCTCGCATGGCACAAACATTACACATGTTTATGCATGCATGTATTCATGAGTATGATTGTTTGTATCGGTATGGGTGTTATCTATGTATAATATGTATGTACTATGTATTTACGAAATAAACATATCTATGTACTTGTATCAGTTATCTATTACCCGTAAAACAAGCTTTAGCTAGCTTAACTTGGGTCTAGATGGCGCTGTGTGAATTGTCCTAAGATTGTTATTATTATTATACAACCCTAAATTATCACCCTTCTATCACCAACCCATATTTTTAATAGCGATTTTAATTATATCGCAAAACAAACTTTGTGGGGTCAGCTAGTAAACTATAAGTGTGCGAAATTTCATACTCCTCTATCCTCGCAATTTTCATAAAAACGTTACAAAGTTTTTACTTATTTTGTTTTTGATGTTAAACAAATTACAGATGATATTTTATATAGGCGACGGTTGCCAATTACTATCAGGTAGACCTTAGCATGTTTGTCATTGCAGTAACAAAAAAAAAAACCAATAACCAAAACATAAGACAAAGCGTTACAACGGTAAATATTACATACGGAATACATCAGACACGATTGTTACGTGTGAAATCTGTTTACATTTGCGTAAACACGCTCGACCCTGTTCATGTTGTTGACTCATGAAAATTGTAACATCGCGTCAGCATGTAGTCCAACGGATATATTAATAATAATAATAAATTTATTTCATTAACATAGATGTTTTACAATTTTTTTTTACATATCAACAATCACATATTCTTATTTATATATTTCCTTAAACCGTCTCCTTGTAAGCATAATTAAATACTTGTGATAGGAGATCACGCTCTTCTAGTTATTTATTATTATATTAAGAATTTGTTTCTTCTGTAAAAGACTGTGTGTGTGTGTGTTTTTGTGTGTGTGTGTGTGTGTGTGTGTATGTATGTAAGTGTGGAAGGGTGTTGTGTGTATTATTGTTATATTATCGACTAGACTAACTGTAACTCGCGGTTTCACCAGCCGTTTATTTTAAATGAAATGGTGGCTATCACATTCTATCACTTTACCCGCTAGCGCTACGAAATCAGCTCCGCTCCTAAGCGTCGAATCGTGATGACCAATAAATATAATAACCAATAAAAATCCTCAAGAATTGGCGGAAGGGGATTGTTAATAATGTGAACAATTTACTCCATTGATGGCAATTGTAAGTAGCTTTGACGTGGTCTAGTGTTTTGAGTAGTCATGCTCACTAAAATGTCCAGTCCAGACTTGTGGCGGCGTGGTGGGCCGGGTCATTGGGCTCCCTAAAATATGGTCGAGCGCAGTGATGGCTGGCTCATCCGTCATACTCGTGAACGGGTGATTGATTGATCACTATGACTGATTTCATCGTATTAATTGTTTAACCAGTTGGTTATATATTCAATATTTTTTCTTTTTGAGTATTTAATTGAATTAGTGCTAATTGGTGGTTTGTATTCACACACTTAAACTTAAAAATGTAAAGTAATAATAAAATTATTTAAAAGAGCAACACGCAAGTTTCTTGCTCGTTCTTCTTGTGATGAGACAGCTTTCCGAACGAGCGGTAGATTAAAAAAAAATGTAATGACTATTCAAAAGTGCTTCAATGTAAGTTTATTTGAATAAATGATTTTCTATTCTATTCTATTCATTACTCCACCACTAAGCCAGGATTATCTCTATGCAGTCCCCCTGGAAACAGGTTGGTGATTTAGTCACAATGGGCTAACTGACCTGACCTTATGCTCATTTTATCAATCTCCACTGGTGCTCCGCCAGCGTAAATTAAACGTTAACGCAGTCGAGTACAACATTCCATTATCCTACTAATATTATAAAAGCGAAAGTTTTTGAGTAGTGATGGATGGTTCACGCAAAAAGTACTGTATGGATTTTGATGAAACTTTCAGAACATCAGATTAATACATAGGCTATAAATTTCACGCGTATGACCCCGTGGGCCATACATAATAAAATCCTCAAGAATTGATCTATCAAAGGCAAAGATTTTATCAATACCGTCCGATAGCTTCCAAGCTTAGAACGTTCAAACTCTTATGCATTGTATATTAATACGTTGGACCTACACAAGATGACTTTAGCCATGACTTTGTAAAGATAACATACCTCAATTGATAAATCGATATAACTCTCAACCAGTTACATTGACAATGTGGTATCCCAGTGTTTCTCAATCTTTTTAGTGTCTATTCAGTAACGGAGGCATTCGAAACCGTCAAAGTAAGCTTTTTTTTATTTTAAAATGTATTTATTGAATAAATATATAATGATTAGTTAGGTTACAGATATGAACACAATACAGAGTAGACACAAGTTTTTTCTTCTTTTTTTTTTATGTTTCTGGAAGCAGTTGTAGACAGTGCCACACCCCACCTTAGTCTGTCTAATATTCTTATGTCCCTCCGGTGAATTGTTTACTTAAGAAACTTAAATAATAGATTTTAGGAAGAAATCATTAGGAATTCTTTAATGAAACTAAGTAAATTTTCAAAACATATAATGAATAAATGAAATTCATATACTATATAATTTTAATAGTCCATTTTCGAATTGCCCTTCTTAACAATCAAATGACCCCCCTGTCGGTCGAGTGGGATTTATGTTAAGAAACACTGTGTTATCCTTTAGAATGCCGTTGATTGTTTGACGAGGAAACAATGTCCTCAGATCATCTCCTCAAAACATTTTGTTTTATGATATTAATCAAATATGTTCTTGTTTGTATGCCAAAAAATTATGTATAAATAAATAAAATAAATAACCCTAGACAATTAACACAGCGCCATCTAGTCTCACGGTAAGCAGTTTGTGTTTATAATAGTTATCTAGTAAACTAATATAAACACATAAGTTTTTTTTGTAAATACATATATAATATACGTAGAAAACAGCCAGACCGATATAAACAATCATACTCATAAATAAAAATGTTTGCACCGTGCGAGGAAGCGAACCCGCGACCATCGGAAAGTAGGGCGGTGTAACCGCTAAACCAAACCACCAAGGCAGTCAAATCTGTATTATCTATATATTAATATGTGAAACAAAAACTTTGTACACCTTTTAAGGACAATTGCGCGAACTTAGGGTATTTTTATTTTAATAAAAAGAAAACTTAATCCCTGTGGATGAAGTCGCGTAAACAGCTGGGCAGATTCATATTTATACGTGAAGCAAAAACTTTGTACACCTTTTTAGGAAAATTGAGCGGACTTAGGGTACTTTTATTTAAAAATTTTTATTTTCATAAAAAGAAACCAAATCACGTAAATAGTTCCATATAAATCATTATATTAAAAATGTACGCTGCTAAGACCTAGAATTGTGTATCGTGTCAACCAATTTAGCTAACAATGTTAGATTGAGGCAGGGTTTGAATTCCCGCTTGTAAATACGGATGCCCTTGGCGAACCGTTGCGTCACGGGTCGTTCACCCCGATCGATTCGCGCCCCGCCAGCACAAGGCGACTTTAAGTGTTAGTTGCGATTCGTATCCCAGAAATAAGAATTAGGCGTTATCGACAACTACCCAGCTTTTGCTGTTTGAATCGCCAAACGCATTTCACATTGAATTTCGAAGGTACTAGTGGATCATTACAATGAGACCACTAATAATCACTCATTATACTTCATTGTATCACTAATAATGAGTGCGTAGCGATTTCTATGTTGATTATCGCATGCCTCTTACTTGTTATACTGTAATTACTTATATAAAAAAAATCTATTCAAAAGAGATACACATAAGTTTCTTGTGATGAATCTGCATTTCGAGTGAGTGGTAGAATCAATATACGACTATTCAAAAGCGCTTGTAATGAGTTTATTTGAATAAAGATTATTTCTATTTCCATGGACTGTTTTCATGAATGACTACCTTGTGCCCTCGACTTCGCGTGTAATATTGACCTTGGATAGCACTATTAATTATTATTTTACAAACTTTGAATATCATATTTATTTGACGACCTCGGTGGTCTAGCGTTTTAGCACACCGCTTTACTTCCGATGGTCGCAGCTTCGATTCCTCGCACGGTGTAAACATTTGTATTCATGAGTATAATTGTTTGTACCGGTCTGGGTGTTTTCTATATGAAACATATACATACAGAAAAATGCAAATACAAAACAACAATGGTGTACGCAAAGGAACAAGACACATAGTAAAAAGGAATACAGGAAAATTTAACTGAAGAGGAAATGGGATTTAACCGAGATCTTAAAAATTATTATATATACTTTATTGCACTTATTACATTAATAAACAAAGACAGTTATACAATAATGTTAGCAAGGGAGGGCTTATCTCTGCAAGAGATCTCTTCCAGCCAACCTAACGCTGTGACAGAGGTGGTAGTTAACGGGCAACGAGAGTGCTTAAGATTTTGTAATAGATAACAATATTCTAATGTATACTTAAAAAAAAAGACACACACACATTTACTAATTATATAAATAATAATAATAATAATTAAACAATACAATACATTCAATAAATAAATATTATATTATGCATACATATATAAGCAACTATTATATATATGACTATCTTTGAAACCACGTCAAGTATTGATGGAAAGGAAATGAGAATGTAGGAATGAAGGAATTATGTAATA